CTTTAGTTGTAACTCTATATTAAAATTATTATTATTTTTGACATGGCTCAATTAACAGCAAAAATCGAATCATTTCTATTGGAAGCCCTTTTGGAAGCTATTTGTAATGGATTCATTTTCTACTTAACAATGGATGGCGATGAAGTGAGTGAATATAATAATATTAGAACTTTAACTGAACGTGCGGTATGCTCTGCTTCACAAAAGATAGAAAATAATAGACGAAGAACTAAAGTAGTGAATATATTACTAGAAGTAAGTTGCGTTATTTTTATAATTGATTAGACCAAAACAACTTTTAAGTTATGATGAAATACAGCAGATATATTAGCAACTCTTTTAGTTGATCATAGCTAGAGTCCGAGGAATGTCAGTCTGGAAGAGCGATATTATCAGGATTATTTTCTCATATTATTGAAGGTTTCTGCTCCTCCTTGGCCATACGTGGTTATTTTTGCTAAAAGATTAAAATATACATTTATGAGTTATAAACTCACGCGTTGAAAATAATCTGATTATTGAATATTATAGGCAGAGTCCACTGTTAAAGATATATAAATTCTCCAGGGATAACTTTATATGATGGATAAATTATTGTGATCACATAACTAACTTATTGTATTTGCTGTAGATGGAAAGTGAATATAACACTATTATTAGTTTGAAAGCGTTGAAAGCATTGAATATAGCTCAAGAATTGACCACTAATTATACACGAGAAGAAATTGAGCAAAATGTTAAAATATTAAAAATGAAACTTGATTTATCTATAACTAATGCTGATGAAAATCTTTACAGAGTTCTTAAGAAAAATATTGATGGGGGATTGAATGTTTCCGAACTTACCTGAAGAGATCCAATCGCAAATACTGTTCTTAGTGACAATTCGGAAATTATTAAAAATCTCAGTTACAGACAGAAACGTACTTTTATGGTAAAGATAGAGGAAGAGCCTTGTTGTATTGCAATAATATTATACATGTTCCCAAAATTGATTTTGGATTTTTGAGGTATTTCGACTTTTTGAGATTTATGCAAAATCTATTCTATATATGAAAGTAAAAAAAGTACCTAGTTATATATATCTTTAATCAAAGAATAAATCTGGATGGTCAAAAAATTTCAGGTTTTAAGTAAAATAATTTTGTCTTCTATAAAAAACCATTTCGACTTTTTTTCCTGAAATTGTAATTTCGGGACTCCAAAATAATTTTGTGTGCAAGTATAAATAATATATATTATGTGTTACTTTTTTTTTCTCCAAAATAACAATAATTCCTATTATTATCTAGGAACCTCGAAAGAATATGAAGTGTGGAGTTCTTAGGTTAATTTCTTCTAGGGTTGATGAATTTGTAGAAAATTTTGATGAGATAGATAATCCCAACCATATTAGAAATATCGTGCACGATAAATCATGGAAGGAGGATAAGTTCGAATTGTTAAAAACAGCAGAATGGATACTTGGCGTATTGTAAGTAACTAATAATCATTTATATCTTTAATAAAACTAAAGCCTTCGCTAATTTATATCTGTAAATTTAAAGGAGATATCTGGTACAATCTGGCTTTTAGCACAAGGGCCACGAGTAGTGTACAAAGTGAAGGGACTTATATTACGGATGTGATTATGCCATTACTTCGAGCTAGTTTAAGTGACTTGTCAAATGGATATATTTGTTTGAGCACAGCTGAACGTCAAAGCTTAACAAGTAAGGCACGTAGAAATAATGGAACAGGTAAAGTAAAAATAGGAAAAAAGCCTGATATTATGGCTCTAGAAAGGTGTAATGAAAAGTTGGTGGAATTTTTATATGTATAAAGTTTTCGCATTGTCTACAGTCCTACTAAAAAAACAGATAATTAGATAAAATTATGATGAGAATTATTGGATGGAAGTAGCTATATAAGTTCTGCATGTAGACCTACTTGTAACTAATTTGGTGTGGTCAGGATCCAAGTAACCAGTGAGAAAATATATTTAAATGTCCTTGTTAACAATGCAAATGGGATACCAAGATACTTCCATCTAGATCATACAGAAATTCCATTAACTTCGGAAATAAGGTTGTGTACAAAAGCCTTAATAAGATTGTTACTGACCTTGAGAAATATTATAACTGTAAATAAGAATTTACTTAAACAAGCAATAGAACAGGCTGTTTCACATCCATCTTGAAATACTTCCTCAAGTCCCACTGTCACTACACCAGAACACGATTATCAATAGATTTTTCTTTGTATATTATATATTTTATCTTGTATTTTTAAGTATCTCGACACTAGCTTTGCTATTGTATATATATATAATGTATTTTTATCTCGTATTTTTTATTAATAAAGATTTTTGATTAAAGAAATATATAATATATCATGTGATGTTTTTTCGTGTAATAACGGAGTTAGTACTAAAGCATATGTATAACAGTAATTTTTTTGAAATAACAGAGTTAGTGTCTTCGACACATAATTTTTTTGGCAAATAGATAGTTTATTGTGCCACATACATTGCATTAGGGTACGAAAAAGAATGCGCACGTGATTTTTCACAACACGAAAAAGTCAATATCTAATTTGAATTAATTTATGATTATGTAAAACGTTAATATGGGAGAGCAAAGCACAGAATCAAAAACTCATAAAACATTAACTCCTGAATATTTGAAGTGGCAAGCTGAAATTACTGTAGCACCAGGTATTTCGATAGATAAGATTCGTCCTAAGTTGTATAAAAGATATAAGAATAAAACTGGTCTCGATCCATGGAAAAATAATAATATAGATAAACCCTTAACCCCTAAAAATTTGAACTGGTATGCTAAATTACCTGAACTACCAAGTTCTTTGACCGATAAAATTCGTTTGATCTTATATAGTGCATATACGGAAGAGACTGGGCTCGATCCCTGGATAAAATCTGAAATTTCAGTTTGTGAAAAACCAGAAATTAATTCGAAGCTGTTAGATGAGATTACTGAACTTAGAAAGGAGAATATCAAAATTAAAACCAAGAATACAAATTTAAAACAGGATTTAGATGAATTTAAAAAGGAACTAGAGTCTAAAAAAAATCGTAAATTTCAGTAAAAATGTATCCTAATAGCTCAAGTATTACTTGGGGAAAAGTCGGTAATTGAGTATCGCCCTCCCTTCTTGAATGAATTGGAACTTGATGTCTTCTTTCAAAAATACTGGATTGCATTAGAGGTACAAGGGGCTCAATATCAGCTTCATAGCACTAGCTGGTATAAGGATGTCAAAAAACTTGAGGATGTTATAAATCGTGATCAGAAAAAAAGATGTATAGTGGGTGATCAAAAATCACCGGACAGTTGAAAATTTTTAAAAAAATTACTAAAATTAAAATGCTGATTCTACCACA